GGTTTTTCTCCTGTATCCTAGTGTGCGGTGAAGCTTGCCAAGATGGTGGGGTATGTGAGTGCGGGCACTGTGGAATACCTGTACAGCCAGGATGGGAGTTTCTACTTTCTGGAGTTGAATCCCCGCCTGCAGGTGGAGCACCCCTGCACAGAGATGGTCGCGGATGTTAATCTGCCAGCAGCGCAGCTCCAGGTGAGTCAAGTGCCCAGGCCCTGTGCTCCGGGAGGCTTTCGGAAGTGCTCACGGTAGGGTATGTTGAAGAGGCCTGAGCGTGAAAAACCTGTTCTGTGCAGCCTTAGTAAAACAGGGAGGCGGACTCTTGCCTGAGTCACAGCCCGGTTCTGTGTTAAAACTGGATCATGTGCTGACATTATGCAGATAACTAGATCTTGGCACTGATAGAGGAGAGAATATTCAGTGTTAGAAGCTCTCCTGTATATGGCCTATATCCAGATAGGTGATATATGACTCCCCCATGTTTCCTCCTCGATGAAAATACCCAATAACTCAAAGGCCTCTTTTGGTACTTTTGCAGCTTGGTATTTCTTTTCTGTGGTTGAGGCAAAGCTTCGTTCAGTATTCCAAAATATATATATACATCCCTTCTTAGTGACTGTTTCACTAAGTTGTAGCTAAAGCATTTGGCTTTTTCTGATTTGGAAAGCAGAGAGAGGTTATTTTCTAGTTGTTTCTCCTGGACTGCTCAGGTAGACCTTCAGTTAAAAGGAGTGTGAAGGGAAGCAATAGAGGAATAAAATATAGAGGCAGGAAAACTGATTTAAGGAAAGGTTGGGGGGGGACACGACACACACACGACACCAAAAAAGAAGCCTGTCTCAACAAGCTTTAGCCATGAGTAGTTCAACTTTAAGCTCTGAAATTATTTTGTGAGATGAGCTGGCTTCTGAGGCTAGCAGTGCGATCCAATGCTGTGCCGGTTTGGAGCAGTGCATCCCCCACTTTGCCTCCAGGGCACAACAGCCTCTTCCCAGAGTTTCTAATGACAAAAGGAGGGAAAAAAGAGCAGACAACTGCATTTTTCATCTTGCTTCAAGTTCAGTTGTTTGAAGATCAGGAAAGTGACTTGGGTCTTTTTAATTTTGGTGAGCAGTTCCTGACTTCCAGAGCGATTGTTCCCACCTCTCTAAGCCCCTCGAGGCGGGGGGACAGATGCTTCCTCCTCCTGGCTGAGGTCGCTGCTCTTTAGTCTTTCTACAAAACAGGATTTGGGCCTAATAATTAGGTACTTGAATAGATGTGGCAAAGTGACCAAGAATTTGTCTTCATTTATTGCTTTTTCAAGGGGGAGTCATGACAGTGGGTGGCAGTTATGGCTTACAAGAACGAGTAGGCTTCGTGTTGTGCTGGTCTCCAAAGCAATGAGGGAATCCTTCACAGATCCTGTAGAAAGCATTTACTGCATACGCTGTGGCTCATCTGTCCCTGGTGCCTGCCCACCGAACTCCCTGTGTGCTGCCATGCTACCTCCCTCTTCTCAGCCCTCACCTCTTCCACCAGTGGATGAACGCTGCAGTCACTGTCTGACACCATGTTAGGGGCTCTGGCTGCTTTTCTACTTCCATTTTCTCAGCTCTCTCATTCTCACCCACTTGCTTTCTTTCTAGTTTCTTTCTTCTGCTGTTTGCATTTTGGAGTTTATTGGATAGGTGGTAGAGAAAACAAACAGTTGATCTGTAGTGTCTTGTAGGCTGCTCAGGAGCAGGATCATCTCCATTTTGTCATGAGGCTATTTGGCTTTGGCCAGTAGGTGATTCCAGTAGCTCTATGTCTGTATTTGCCAGGCATTGAGGGTTTTGTAACTGGTCAGATGCTTTCCTCATTGTTTGGGCTCTGTTCTCCGTATTGCTGATGCTAGGTGCAATTTCATAGAACGGCGCGTTGATCTTGTAACCAGTTTGGACTTTTGTCTGTCAGTGGCTGGCTAACAGGCAGCTGAAATAAATGGTTAAGCTAAAGCTCAGCCCTTTTGAACTGTAGCTGTGAAAAAACCCAAACCAACCAGCTAGTGAACATAACAAGTGGGACTTTGGTCCGTAAGGATACAGCCAGCAGCCCATTCCGCAGGTCACCCTTGCTGTGGCTTGTAATTGCAAAGCTCCACCGTTTCCTATAACCAGTTAGGGGCCTTCTGCCTCCCTGGGACCTTGGTGTATCTTTAACAGGCCTCATGCGTGCCCATCCTCAGCTGACCTAGCGCTGGCCGGCTTTCTCTGGAGCCCTTTAGAATGGAAAGTACTGGCTGCAGGGCTTAAGGTGGATGTTACGCTGAGCTCAGCTGTCCTGAGGAATATGGAGGTTCCAAGCCGTGTCGATGGAGCAGGCTCACGTCGGAGAACAGGCGCGTTCGCTGGGCGAGAACTGCCGCGTCGGCTTCTGCAGAGAATAGGTGGAATGAGTTCTTCAAGGAATAGGTACTCTCTGAGGAGAGAAGCTTACTTAGTGGTGGCTTTATTATTATTATTATTATTCATTGTTATTCCTTAGATTGCCATGGGAATTCCCCTCCACAGGATCAAGGATATCCGAGTGATGTATGGCGTTTCTCCGTGGGGAGATGCATCGATTGATTTTGAGAATTCAGCCCATGTCCCGTGTCCACGTGGCCATGTCATCGCTGCACGTATCACCAGTGAGAATCCTGATGAGGCGAGTGTTTTAAGTTCTGTGGTTACTGATCACGCTCTGATAACCATAGGCATCACACCTAGGTTCAATCCCTGATGCTGATCCTGAAAATTTTGGCAGCAAATTTAAAAGAGTCTTCTCTTATCTCGTTTAGCTGATCGTTCCATAGACGCTGATTAGACACAGCCTGAACTTATTTGCATATATATCATGTTGCGGCATGAAGAGGTGCTCTGGCCTTCAGAACTCTAATTACTTCCCTAATTCTGGGTGATTTACTTTTTCTTTAGGATGTATAGCAATGTCTGTCTGTCTTTACAGGGATTTAAGCCCAGTTCTGGTACAGTTCAGGAACTGAATTTCCGAAGCAATAAGAATGTCTGGGGCTATTTCAGTGTTGCTGCTGCAGGAGGGCTTCATGAATTTGCTGACTCTCAGTTTGGTCACTGCTTCTCTTGGGGAGAAAATCGTGAAGAAGCCATCTCGTAAGTAGTCAGAAAAGCGATAGAACCTTGGAAATTGCTTGGTTTTGTCCTCTTTGATCCAAAGTGCCATGGATAAAACACGACTCCTTAGTTCTAGGAGTTTTAAGAGAAGTTTCCCCCTCTACCTTGTTTACCACATCATGGTCAGGCTTCTCATCCTGTTTTGCTTTGCAGTTCCACTGTGGTGGACTCGCATTTCTACACTTCTTGCTTAATTTTTATTTTTTTTCTTTTCTGGTTCATTCCTGCCTTGTGTACCTGCTGCTGGGTTATGATTCAGCTACCGTTGTGCTGAAGTCCCTCTTCGAAAGCATTCAGGTGGAAGGCTTCTAACAGGGGAAATACTGATAACTTGTGATGCCGATGCCTTGTACTGGTTTCTAAACCATGGAGTGTCCTTAGGTGGTGTGGAACGTTAAAGCATCCAGGACTGTCAGACCTGTCATCCGTGCTGGTTTTCATCCAGAGCCTTTCCTCTGTTCCATTCTGGGTGGGATGGAGAGCACGTCTGTCCGTCCTATGCGGACTTCTGACCTGTGCTAGGTGCCTCGGTGCTGGGGGCAGTGGGGACTCCTGATCTCACAGCCGGTGCTGGCTGAGCCGCTCTGGTTCACACCAGCAACAGACTGAAGAAAATCGATATTCTTTCATTCCCAAGCATGTTGTCTGGGATCTTGCTCCAGGGCACGTGCTCTTCTGCCGTTACCTTCAGGCTGGTTTTTCCCAGCAGCTCCTGGGGAACTAGAGTTACCAGCTTGCCCGCTGCCGTTCGGATGGGATAGGTCACAGGTATTCTTTTCTCTTTCAGGAACATGGTGGTGGCTTTGAAGGAGCTGTCCATCCGAGGGGATTTCCGAACCACTGTTGAGTACTTGATTAAGCTGTTGGAAACGGAAAGCTTCCAGCAGAACCGCATCGACACGGGCTGGTTGGATCGGCTCATTGCTGAGAAAGTCCAGGTGCAGCTGCTTGCTTTCCAGGGCTGCAGGTGGGGGTGAGGAGGGGAGGGGGGTGGAGGCGCAAAGCTCGGTGCGTGCGGGTTGCAAGAGGACGAGGATTTAGGAGTGGTTCATTTCCACTTACCACTTTATTCATAAATATTTTCACTGGCCTTCATTTTTATTTATATCAAAATCCCGGGTCATCCCTGTCCGGGAGAGGTGGTCTTAAAGTTGTCCGGAAAAAGCATCTTGGTGTACGTGTGAATTAAGGTTGGTGTTCTGGTTTGCAGTTTGAGACAGATGGTCGTGGAAGTGTAGGTGAAGCCTCAAGATTTGATCCAGGAAGAAAAAAAAGTGGTTTTCTTTTAGGGAATTACAGAGGTAATTGCTCCTGTATAGTGTTTGCACGGATGCTACGCCAACTTAATTTTAAGGAGAGGTTGGCTGTGAACCAAAGATAGAGCTGAGACTCTTGATTCTTCAAATGAGTGTCTGGGATGGACTGAAGCTAAAGGAGATGTAACTGTGTTGTATACCCTTTCTTTCTAGGCTGAAAGGCCCGATACCATGCTGGGAGTGGTGTGCGGAGCTCTGCATGTGGCTGATGTGAGCTTCCGAAACAGTGTCTCAAACTTCCTGCACTCTCTAGAAAGGTAAAGTTGCAGGCTGCTCTGCTAGATAGCTGATTAGCAGATAGTAGTTAGTTTTGATTTACAGGTTTTGTTCAAGTCCAGTCCAGAAATGCACACAGCTCGTTATCTGCTGACTGTTCTCTGGCCCCAGGAAGCTGTTTATCTACTGGCCTAAGAAAGCTGGCAGATACCTGTGCATCTCCCCAAAATATCCCCTGCTTTTTGCACAGGTTGGTTTGGTTTCTGGCATTTTTGGCAGAAGCTCCAAGAATTGGCTCAGGATGTGGAGTTCTTTCTCTGGGTGCTGCTAGGGCAACATTAGGGAGCCTTGAATCACCAGGTGGCTGGAGAGAGAAGGGCTGGCTCTGTCAAACTGGTGTGTGTCTCCTAAGGAGAGATGGTTTAAAAGCCTACTGCCACCTCTCTGCTAGTGTTTTCTAAATTCGTGCATGCATCTTTGGACCTGCTTGGGCCTCTGATGGCCATTTGGTGGCTTCTGGAAGACCAGTTTTGCTTTATTACTTCTCTTTCAAGGGGCCAAGTCCTGCCTGCTCATACTCTGCTAAACACTGTGGATGTGGAACTCATCTATGAAGGACGGAAGTATGTGCTGAAGGTACGATGCACAGCGTGGAAGCCCATCCTCTTGCCCCTTTTAGTTGCAGATGCCTGTTTGTGTGCTGCTCTGGCTTGATCTTTGTAATACATGTATTAATTGGAATTAAATCTGTGCAGGGTTTGTTTTCTCTGCTTTAGTGGGGTTAAGAAATCAGTACAATCTCCCTTATCATAATACCCCGTGACATCTTTCCTTTGCAATATCTCTGTGCATCTCTAAACATTTGAACCCTTTGGGGTCAAGAAATGCCTGCATAGGATGAAGAGTACTTTGTTATGTGCAAAGGCTGCTGCCTGTTCGTTGGCCAAAACTTTCAGCTGAGGTTTCTGAATGTGTAGATCTGCTCTGTTGGGTGTTTGAGGCCGGTTTCATCAGCATGACAGAATTTGTAGCAATTTTTCCTTTTAGTGTTGCTTTTTCTTTGCTGCATGTGAAAAACAACGTTAGAAATACTGTCTAAAGGTTGCGAAATGAAGCATACAGAAGTTAGGAAATACTAGACTTAAAATTGTGTGTGTGCAGTCTTAATTAGCTTCCTTGGGCAAAGTTATTATGGTGAAGTTTTTAATGACAGGACCATGTACAGTTTTTTGCAGCTAGAAGTATTCTGCACCCCTGCACCTCCGTGATTTTCTTTGCACCCCTTGATGAGAAATAGAGCAGCACTGAACAGCCGCTGAAGTATGCTTTAAGTGATTTACCCAGCTTCAAACAGGAGCTCTGTGGCAGAGGCTGTGATAGGATCCCTTTTTCCAGGGAGAGCTTTAGCTGCCTTCTCTGTGAGACCGTCTTTTCTTCCTCTTTTTTTTTTTCTTTTTTTTTAAAAAAATTACCTCATTCATTATGCAATTTTAGTACACGACTGTGCCCTGCGCATAGATCGGGCTGAGTAAATGGTATGTGATTGCATAATCAAACCTGTACAATTAACGCGTAAGTGTGAGAGGAATAAATCAAGATTCATGGACAGCAGTAGTTCTGGCATGTCTTGACTCCTAAATGCTTGGCTTTGTGATCCCAAATTTTTTTTCCGTTGTTTTTTTTTCCATCTAACATGAGAACAAATGGCTCCGTTTTCCCTTCTTTAATTCCCACTGTTGCAGTGCTTGGAAAACCGTGTGTGTTGTAGTAACCAAGGCACTGTCGATGCTGTGTTTATCTCATGGGGTACGTACTCTTCTTGTGGATCTGCAGGTGACCCGACAGTCTCCCAACTCCTACGTGGTCATCATGAACAGCTCGTGTGTGGAAGTTGATGTGCACCGACTGAGCGATGGAGGACTGCTGCTGTCTTACGATGGTAGCAGCTACACGACCTACATGAAAGAAGAAGTGGACAGGTAGCAACCTGTAAAGGATAACGTTTAACATTTACACACAAGCCAGACTTAGGCGTACTTGTAACTTTATGCTTCCTGAAGATCAGCTGGGAACGGAATTCTCTCCTAGGAGGATGTTACTAGATGTATTATGGATGAAGGGATTAAAGGGAGAAGTTGCCTTCACACTGAAGAAAAGATCGTGGCTGCTGTTAGAGGAAAGATCTGAATGTGTACCAATGTGGAGTCCATATTCTCCTGCTGGTTCTTTTACCCTTTTGGATTATAAAAACCAAACAACCCAAACCCAGACCACTGAAATCTTTACAATCCTTGAAACTCCACAGCTGCCTTAGAAATAGAAAGGTTTAGTACTTCAGTGCGTTCCCTCAACATTCCCTGCAGGGCTCATAGCCCTAAGGTCAGTAAATCTGCAGCTTCTGGGATGTGAACCACGGCCCCCTCTGTTGGTTTGTTGAGGAGTACAAAGAGGGTTTTGGTAACTTTCTGGGTTGGAAAAGGCTGTAAAATCTCAGCCTCTCCGTCTGCTGCATGGGTGCCTCCTGCTCTTTTCAGCTTTGCTCTGTACACGAGAGGGTTTAGCATGAGGTGGGCGGTTTGGTGGATGCGTTCTGTTGTGTATGCAAGTGTAATCTCTAACATCAGTTTTTGTTTATATGAAGTCTTGAACTTCATTAGTTCTGGTTCAGACAGCCTTGCGAAGGGCGATTCTCTCTACTTTCTGATCCCTGGCTTCCATCCTCCTGTTTTGATATGATTAATCTGAACTTCCAGATGCAGGGCCGTCCTGTGCTGCTCAGAAGAGCTGGTTGAGGTGCTTTTGTTTAGTTTTGTTTTGAAGTAGAATAGG